ATATCTGTCATCACTTCATAAGAGAGCTTGTTGAAGAAAAGATTGTTGCCTTAGAACATGTAGCCACTAAATTGCAACTGGCTGACATCTTCACTAAGGCCTTGGATGTTAATCAATTTGAGAACTTAAGAAGAAAATTAGGGATTTTCCTATATGAAGGTTTGTAGCAATTAAGGGCATGTGGAAATATCATTAAAATGATATTATTCTATTTGTGTTTCCAACAAATAAAATTTCAAAAGCAATCATTACAATACTGCCTCATAGTGTTTCCCACACGCTACGAAATTTCATCTTTCTAATTTCATAAACTCTTCATTCTCCTCTACATAAAAATAACCCTTGTCATTCTTCATCTCCTTGCTCAAAAATCTTCAAAGATGTCTCAACATCATACATCGTCTTCCTCAAAATCTGTCAACCTCCCTGAAAATCTCTCCCTTGACAGAGTACTTGATGCTACTTCTCTAACAACCATCCCACCTCTTGAGAAAACGGTCAAGAAACCCATATCATCACATGCAAAGAAATCCAAAGATGATAAAGGTAACTCTTCTACTGCTACTGAAAATATGACAGAATAAGAGATTGTTAATATTGATAGAAGCATCAGAAGGCTACTAGACAGAGTATTAAATGAAGGCTTTGCTGTGCCTGGAATTTCTACTCCTCTTGCTCACATTCCTCCTCCGGCTGACAAAGGAAGTAACCCAAAAAGTCATGTTGCTGAATCATCCACCTTCAAGAAAGATGCTGCTGAAAGCAAACTTGAGAAGCTTGTTATCTCTGCTTTAAAGAAAGTGGAAGAAGAAAATGTTGAACAATATGTTGAAGAGAAATCGCATACTAAGGAAGATGTTGTTGCCTCCAAGGATGCAGAAGGTCAAAATGTTGAGAATGTAGTTAATGTAGATGAGCTATCTGAGAATGAGCTCATTACTAATATGGTGTCTGGTATTGCAAGAAGGCTCAAATCCAGGAAAGTGAAGGATGCAAGTGTCACACCCCCTGCCAAGACAACCAAGAAGAAAATCATGTATGGACCCCCAAACCCAGGAAGTAAAATGGCTCCTCACTCTAGCAAAAGAAAAGCTAGACCTGATAGCTCCACTGATGATGATGTTGTAAAAAGATCTAAAAGTAAAAAGAAAGTTGTGGTTGTTGAAGAAGCTGACTCAGACTATGATGTCGAGCAAGATGTCTAGGATATCTCTCCTATCAAAAAGTCTGCAAGCAAGAAGATTTCTATTAGGGTTCTTGATGATCCCCTTGACAACATTTCCTTACATTCTATTAGGAATGCTGAAAAGTGGAAGTATGTGTTTCAAAGAAGAATTGCCCTGGAAAGAGAATTGGGAGTTGGTGCTCTGGAATGCAAAGAAATCATGGAGCTGATATCTTATGCTGGACTGATGAAAAATATTACCAAGTTTACCAAATTCTATGAGACTCTTGTTAAGGAAATCATTGTTAATATTCCTATTGGCTGTGCTGATCATAAAAAAGTAAGGAGTTTAGAAAGGTGTATGTTAGGGGTAGGTGTGCAGAATTTTCCCCTGCTATCATAAATAGATTTCTGGATAGGACTGGAGATTATTTTTGTGAGCTAGAAGTAACAGATAATCAAGTGTGCAGAGCCATCACTACTAATCAAGTGAGTGAGTGGCCCTTGAAAAATAAACTTCATGTTAGCAAGCTTAGTGTGAAATATGCTATTTTGCACAGAATTGGAGCTGCAAATTGGGTTCCTACAAATCACACTTCAACCATCGCTATTGGCTTAGGAAAGTTTATTTATTTTGTTGAAAATAAGAAATTGTTTGATTATGGTACTTACATCTTTGATCGGACTATTAAGCATGCAGGAACTTGTGCCATTAAGATGCCCATTGCCTTTCCTTCCCTTATCTGTGGAATTATCCTTAATCAGCATCCTGGGATTCTAAGTGGTAATGATGTAGTGTGCAAGAGGGGGTTTGCCTTGACTCTTCATTTTAAGATTTTTTCATGAAAACATGTCTCATACATTGTTTTGACATCTGCACCTGCTGAAAATAAGACCTCCACCAAGAATGACATGATCACTGAATTGAAAGAAACCTACAAAGAACTAGATGATGTGATCAGAGTTAGCTCAGCAAGGAAGCTAACTTTTGAGAAGATGATCAAGGAGCTGCAAAAGAACAACAACTTTGATGATAGAGTGTGCTCTGAAGAAGGAGATTCTAGTGAGGAAGGAAGTTCTGAATTAGCCAAGTCTATTGGTCCTGATGAAAGTTAGACTATTTGATGTTTATTTATCTGAACCATATGGTTTGTACCTAAATTACTGATACATTATTGAATGCATCCTCTTATTTGACATATTATGACTAAAAAGGGGGAGAGAAAGTGATTGATTGACCACTGATTGAGGGGGAGCTTAATACTTGAGGGGGAGCCTCATGTCTTAGAAGATGTTTTGACATCTTCCTTTACTAACAGCTAACTGCTAACTGAGTTTTTTGTTTTGCTTGGTTTATTTATGTTGCTGCTCTGATAATGCTCTGATAATGTTTTAGCCAAAATTTGTCAAAGGGGAAGTTTGTAAGAGTTTGTTGGCAGCAATTTTGGTAAAACAATGACTTGATAATATTTTGCTAAATGTCTTAATATTTTAAGCAAAACTGTTTTGAATGATGTCAAAGCATATGTCTTGACATCTGCCTCCTGAACTGAACTCAGCCTAATATCAATTTAAGTTTTCTGTTTCCTGATTTTCTGTGCACCATAATTCAGGATTTGTGACTCATAGGCTGCGAAAAATATGGAGGATTATTTTTCTATTTGAATTATCTTTATGGATTATATCTTGGCCTGTTTTCATGAAAATATTCAAAAGATTTGAATATTTGTTTTTCAGCCCAAGTCCACTGTTGTGCATATATAAGGACCTGCTTCCTTATTCAGACCACGAAAACTTTTGAAGAAGAATACTTTCTTTATGTTTCAGAATTCTAAGTCTTTTAATTGTAAAACACTCTAGTATTGATTTAATACTTGTGTTGTTATTTGGATTGTTAATTGTGTATCATTCATAAGTTTTTAAGCATTGAATGATTGAAGTTTTTAGACTTATTATTTCTGTAAGTGATTGAAGGGATTTGAGGAGGGTCTCGTACCTAGGTGAGTCTTAGGTAGAAGTATAGCACGGGTAGTGATTAAGTGATTAGATCGTAAACTGATTGTTTACTGAGGGTCTATGAATTGATACTATTTAGTGGATTTGTCTCTGGCTTAGTAGCCTCTAGAATAGGTGTTATTGTACACTGAACTGGGTTAACAATCCATTGTGTTGCACTTTACTTTGTTCCTTAGATATTTATGTCGTGACATCTCATTCGACATCACATATCTGATACTAGAATTTCAATCTTATACAAGATAATACAACCAGTAATTAGCCTAAAATCTTTAACGGATGTAGCCTCATCAAATGAGTGTTACAACAGTACTATTAACAGCTTTGTACAAATCTCTCATTTTCAAAGAAGTCATAAGTACTGCAATCACATCACCTTTAATAGTCTTCCAGCTAGCTTTGCATAATCTAGCACCATAACCATCAATGACAAGTGCCTTCATGTCACCAATACCATTCAGAGCTTTTAATATCTCTTTCTTACTGATAGAGGTAATAACACTCTCTCTTTGCTCCATGCTCAACTGATCACAATCTCTCATGGTTGCAACATCAATGTGAATTAAGTTATTATCACTCTTCCCCATTAAACCTCCATACTAGTCCAAAACAACTTCCTCAATCTCAGCTTATGTTGTAACTCTGGCCTGATCTTCTTTATACAACATTCACATACTATCGGCATTACGTTTGGATTTAAGTGATGCATGAAAGTAAGAGTTGTTGCTATCTCCCTACCTCAACCACTCAATATTAACCTTTTACTTTAAGACACTCTCTTCAAGCTCATTCCATTTGATAAGATCTTCGGTATATTTATTTATATTTATGAAATGAATGAAATTTCTATTCCTTAACCCAAAAAAAAAAAATCAGTAAATAAATAATATATTAATGCAATATATTGTACTAATAATAAAATAATTAAGAATACATATTGACCCACAATTTGATCTCCAGCATACGTGCATGTGAATAACTCATTGTGGAGAGTTATTAATCCTATATATTTAGAGAAATACTAAAGAGGAAAGATTAAATAACAAGTTATCATGATTTAAACATCCTAGATCTTCATCAATAACAATCTTACCAAGAAAAATTGTTCTAAAAAATAATAAATATTAAGTATATACGTGATTTCATATATTAGAAATATGCTCTCATTTAAATAGTTTCACAAGAATATTCACAAACATCTAATAACATTTGATTTTATGCCATTTAAGTTCTTTTAAAATCAATTTACAATTTTATTTAAATTCGTTACATATGTTTAGGATATAGTAAAAATAGATTTTTATTTGTACCAAAATAATATAGATTTTTTATTTATGATATTAATCAAGTGATGCCATTCGTATGAACATTCAAGAGTTTCAATTTATTACCAGTAAAATCTTCACTACAATTAATTAAATTTAACAAATGACTGAAATCTATTTTTTTATAATAAAAGTTTAATAAATGTATCATAAAAAGATCTTTAAAATATTTTGTAAAATAAATATTACTATTTCAGTGAAATCAAGATGCATTCTTTTTTACTATCTAGCAAGTATATATGGTTAGAATGACTTTGTGTAACTTTGCAAATATAAAGGGATCAAACACTAATATATTTTGGCCAAAATAGAATCATCATTCAAGATATACACACAACTTCAATATTTGGTTAATCTGCATATTGCATCCTTGCTATTTGAAAAGTTGCTATCACCAAAAAAATAATCCAACTAGTAAAGACTCTTTCCACTATCACCAAAAAATTGGAAGGATCCTTCAATCTGTCAAACAATTATACTGAAGTCAGCTTTTGTTACCAATTTCTCGATGAAATGTACTTATCGACCTCGTCTTTCTGCTCGGCTCCATAAGCAAGCCATTTTTCATCAACTTTAACAGCATCTTCACCGTCGATCTTGATATCTGAATGTTGCTAACCGTTAGTAAACTTGCTGGAGGCTAAGTCTTAATGGTATCCTTTGGGAAAAAAACTAAGCGAAATTGTTTTGGAAATTACCTTGTAACAAGAAAGCATGTTCATCATCGCAGCTTCTTAATTTCCAGAATGCCTTACCACTGTTATCCATGTACTGATGTTCAATTCTCACTGCGTCACAGCATTGGTTCCCTGCAATATTATAAGGAAAAATAAAAATGTCAACCGTTGCAATAGCAGAACATTGAACTCTTCCAAAACAAAGTGTAACCATGTAAGATGTATTCACTTATTTTCTATATTTGCAATTCTTTGTTTAACCATATTAAATCCAGTTTGGATGTTAAAAAGGTGAGCAGTAGTAATGCAATAATAGTACGTTATATAGGAAATTGGCAAATTTAAACCAAGCGAGTTTAAATAAATAATGAGATTTTTCCTATAAATAATATTTTATGCATGAAGCTTGCTAAAAGTTAGAGGATATGAGAAGCTCATAAACATCACAACATATACCTTTAGGAACTGTGCCCTGTGCCTCAATCAACTCGGCATGAGTTTTCGCTGCCTCACTTTTTATTGTTGCAAGAAGAGTGTCGTGTTCTGAAATTGAGAGGTTAACTCCATTTGATACAGCAGCTTTTGCCATCTCGTCTTGCAGCTTTTGCTTAAGACTTTTTTCCTACAGATAACATGTACACAACATGAACACCAATTGACAGTTTGCATTATTAGCACCAATCAAGAAACAAAAAACAAAGCACCATGTGTCATCTTACCTTTCCCTTAGCTTCAGCAACCTTAGATTTTGCTGCTTTCTTTTCTTCTGCAAATCTTTCATTTTCATCATCAATATAACTCCTTAGCTTCCTGAACATATAAAAGCAAGTAATGCACCACTTTAAACAAGATAAGGACTATTATTAAGAAGACGGGGAAAGAATGAACAAGAAATAAAATGAATAAAGATAAGAAAACAACAAAGTAACAAGAAAACTCTCAGAACAATATCTTCTTTAAACTTGAAATACTTACATTGTGCCCAGAGCTTCATCACAGATGAAATTCAGAAGGATAAACTTTTTCGACAAGTCCAAATCATAATATCCACTAACACCTTTATTAAGCCAATCCAAAGGAAATTCTTTTAGTATAAGATCAGATTCAGTAATCAATTCCTCCAGAACTTTCAGCCATGAATTTTTTCCACAGCTAGCAGTCAAGGGCGAAGACCTAAGTAAAAGCAATCCAAAAATTAACAGCTTATAAGCATAATATGCAAAACAAATCCTTTCACCCTTAAAAAATGAAATAATAAATAAAAAGTAAAATGAGGTAACTCACTCAATTTCTGAATCAGATACTATAAAAGTCAACAACTTGATTTGAAAGTCAACCACTAAGGTGTTTTGTCCACGTCGCAAATTTTGCTTACGTATCAATGCTCTTAAAACAGCCACCGCCTCTCCTTTTTTGACATCAAGAGCCTGATTATACGAGAGAACAGATGTAAGGAAACTTGATAAAGCAATTATAATCAAATGTAACCATATAATGTGTCGAACAAAATTATTTAAATTATAATAACACCATTATGCCGAGAGAACTTGATTCAATTTAAAGGAATATATCAATTAGTTGAACAATTGCAATGGAAATTTAAGGATTGATTTATAGATTACATGATAATAATAAAATGGTAAATAGTCTCAATTCTATATAATGACTATTACTAATTTGATCTTAGACTCCAATATCGAGAGGTTATGTAAGACCACAACTAAACCAAACAAAACTTAGGAGAAAACAAAAATTTCTTGCCGATTGAACTAACAATCTATGATTTGTGACCATCAGTAGCATTAAAAGAATTTGCAACAGTTGAAATATTTAGTTTGTTAACAACTAGATGAAGCCGTGATTTGCAATTAATCAAACAAAAAATTAAGATAAAATTGAACATTTGAACAACAACAAACTGAATTCTAATATTCATAATAAAGGCATACCTTTCCAAACACTCTGCAGAATTCTAAAAACTGCAATGCATTCCCAACATCTTCTGGTGCTAACTCAATATCTAATATTTTTGTAATTTCAGTGCCAATGGGTAAAGGAATCTCTTCCTTAAGTTTTTCTGCAGCAAAATTATAGCATTTGTTTGAGACTTGACACCAACATTGTTATAATCATTTATCACCTATCACTACAGAGTCTTGGCAATTTTCTCATGCATTAGGTTAATAAATCTTACCATGATCCTCCTCAACTTTTCTTTCCATTTTATCATTTCCATTACACAGTTTAGGCTTTTTTAATTTCTTATTTTGGCAAACATCACCAACACTGCTGCCATTAGATATTTCCTTTAAGTTTTCCCGCTTCACTTTCTTGGTTTTCTCATGACCGACCTTTAAAGCATTGGTTCCACCTAAGGTGTTTTCCTTCTCAGGTTCCCCTGATAGACCCAATACAAGCTCCTATAGTATATAACAAATATGAAAACCAAGCATGATAACTACATTGAAAATCAACACAATTTTACTTCTGCCATCATTAGTTCAAATTGCATACATGAAGAGGAAACTTATTAACCATCAAACAAAGTTAACTTACATGTCAACTACAGAAAAATGGAAAGAAAATCGACACACCTTTTTCAAAGTACCTTCATTTTCAGGCAAAATAGCAGCACTACTGTTCAATTCCAAACCTTCGGAAGCCTTCTTGCTAAGCATATCTGACACGGAGTTAAAACCGGATTTCTTGGCTGTATGAGCTAGCAAACCAGTTGGCTGTTGCCCTCTTTTTTTCCTACAAGGTCACAAAATGAACACATAAAACTAACAAATAAAATGGCACAAAATGAAAACCACAAGACAAAACCAAAAACACATATTCAAACCACGACTTACATGCAAAGACTGCAGTTACAAATGCCTTTGCACTTGGGACACATCCAATCATTCAATAAATCAACCTCTTCTGCTTTTTCCCCATATCTAAACTCAACACAGAAAAATCATTAGCAAATAAATAAAAAAATCACAACAAATTTGTCTACACCTTTGTACTCAAAGTAAAACTTATTAGCTCTGAAAATAAAAACAAATTAAAAATAAAAATGTTAACCAAACCTATTTAGGAGACACTTGTGGCAGAACCTAATGGTACAAGGCTTCCCATTCCTTGGATTCTTGCATGCAGCACAAAAATCCCTTGTTTTTTGCCGGCACTTCAATGTGGAATAACCAAGCAAAAAACACATTAGAATCAAAATGAACATCAAAACTGAAAATCAAAGAAAAACTTAGTTTCTAGCTAGTCAAATTATACCTCAAAACATCTTCATCCTACAACCTATCAACAAAGTTCAGTTTTCATATAATTCACATAAGTCCTATACCAATGTCAAATTGTGGTCTGTCCAGAAATCACCACATCTCAAAATAAATCAATAAACATATGAAGAAAAAAAATCAAATATCAAGAACACACACAAAGAGTACTTCAACACCCATCATCATGTTGAGGACCACAACAGAGGGAGACGCCACATCTCCACCAAAAACCTTAAGGCGTTAGGTAAATGGACCCTGTCTCTCATATAAATCCAACATTCCACCCATTTATAAGCGATGTGGGACTTTAACCACTCACACTTGCACCCAACACATCACCCTACAAACCATCAAATAAAATTTTCAATTTCTCAAATTAACTCACAGCCTAAAAAAAAAGGTACGCAATCACAACATATATCTTGAGATAACAATATACTCAACTCAAACCAATTAGAACATCCATTTAAGCTGACAACAACACAACACCTCAAACATCAATTTCATCCCATTCAAATACTCCGTAATCAGATTCACAAGTAAAACAGAAAACAAACATTCAATAATCAGATCACACAAAACAAAAACAGTTCAAGCACCACTTTCAGAGTGTTACATACGAAGCTTCAAGCCTTCAACATAAACACATACACCAAACACGACACTCACATATCAACATAAATAATAATTTGAGAAAATAAAATAATTGAACATAACCGCGTATGTCAACATCGCATTAGTATCGTTGATACCTAGATCTAAACTCGAATAATACACTTTATTGAATTTAAATACAAAATGAATAAATTTAACGCATGCATGTTAACATAACACAATCCATATTCTGAAGAAATCCTGAGAAGCTAAATCAACCGAACTAGTATCATAAAAGCTTAGAAAAATCAACCTGATGACAAGTTTTGCCATTTTCAGAATCATAAATTCTGTTACCAACAATTCGAACTCCGCATTTATTGTTACGATTCAGTTTCTGTCCATTGGCATCAACCTCGCTCTGGTTCAGTTGAGGTGAGGAAGATGAATCGATTTCCATTTCGTAGAGAGAATTTGGGGTTTTCTTGACGAAATGGGTTTTGGAGTTTGAACTGAAGAGGGGGATGAATTTAAAATGCGGAGAGATTATTAATTATTATTAAAAGTTTGAAATATTATTTGGGAATTTTATTTTCCCTCCTCTATAATGAGGTGGCGGAAACGGTACTATTTTGAATATTATTTTGGAGATTTTTTTAATCAATTTTAAATGTTATAATTTTGGAAGGTTTTGTTTTTACTTTTTTTGTGTTATGAGTTGTTTAGAAATGAAAAAAAGATGATTCTTTAAATTTAAAATTAATAGATTTTTTTATTTATTTTTTGAGTTAAAAATAGTGATATAATATAGTAAATATAATTTTATTTATTTATGTTATTACTCAAGCGATGTTGAGTTGTTGATATCTCATCCAAATAATTTGATAACTAAATTCTATTAAGTTGAGCGGGTCGTCAGTCTTGGCCTGAGGGGCCGGCCAACTAGAAAGAAGTATTGATAATATAAGTAAGTTGACATTTATATGATCACACGTCATATAGAAATTTAAAAATATATAAGTTAGTTTTATTATACATAGTCGGTCTCAAATCCGGGTAAAAGGAGAGAGTTGTGTTAGGCAGTCGACAGCCAACCTAAAATTTTGTCGAATCTCTACAATATGAATCAACTATGAAATAATGTGAATGTTAGGTCGTTACTCCAGAAATAACGCGTTGTATGGCTCGAGTACAATGTCGAAAAAGCAAGGGTTGTTACATCGCCACCTAGATGTAGTGAAAAATAAGTAAAGGTTCTCATATTTTCGTGAACAAGTGTGAGTAAGGAAGTTAGTTCATGAGAGTGAGATTCGTTTTGGACCTTGCGCGCTTACTAGAAAATCTATGAAAATAGTGGACATTATGGTTATGAGGAAGATCAATTTTATGCGCCTTCAAGAAACTAAGTGGACAGGTGAAAAAGCAAAAGAATTGGACAACTCGGGATTTGAGCTTTGGTACACAAAAAAGTTAGATAGAGAAATATGGTAGGGATTATTAGAGACAAGGAGTGGAATAAGGATTATGGTTGAACAACGGTCAAGTTAGGTTGGATTCGGTTTAGAAAACTCAATCTGGCTCAAACCACGGTTCTAAAAGGAAGGCCTAATTTCGACCATTTATATTATCGATTTTGTCTATTCGCGATTTTGCAGTTCGATTTAATCGGTGACCCATTTTAAATCTTATGATATAATGATTTGTGAATTATAAAATGACAAAGATAAAAAATCGAAATTACAAACAATAGTAAATAATTAGGTACAAACATCCATAAAATAATTGTATTCTATAAATTAAGTTACAATTGAAAATTAAAAAAATAAATAAATGATAAACAACTAAAATTACAATTGAAAGGTTCTTGTTTCTTCCTATATCTTTCTTCAACCATCCATATTCTCAATCAAGAACAACACCAGGCTTTAAACAAACGCAATATGTTTCTTCTTAGATCTTTCTTCAACCACCCATCTTCTCAATCAAGAACAATATCAGGCTTTAAACAAAGACCAACATGTTTCTTTCTAAATCTTTCTTCAATTATTCATCTAATAGAAAAATACAGCATAGAAAGAAGAGAAATCATTAATATAATATCAGTTCAACATTTAAAAATATAAATCTAACAAAAATTAAAAGAGAGAGGGAAGTAAAGAAGCAAGACAACAATAACATGATATGAATGAAAATGAAAATAATTTTACCTTTGAAGAGCTTCTGAAGGTGAGAGCAAATGAAGAGAGTGTGAAGAGAAGGAAACAAAGAAGTAAGGCAGAGGGTGAGAGAGACACGATGAGACGGCTAGGTTTTTTTAGTGCGTTTATGAATGTTTTCCAATATTCTCTTATAATATGTTCTCACACTCCTAAGCATAACATATATTACGCAACTTGTGTGTCAATTATGATTTAAGAGGGCACGAGAAGTAATACACGCATTTCTTACAAACATAGTAAAGAACACACCATCAATCAAACCAACTAGGGTTCATGAAAATTCAAAATTTCTATCAGAAAATATGGCATACGAGCATCCATTTATTTCACCTTAGGGTAGAGCTTTAAACTAGATTTATGACACATTCAGTCACATCCCAATCGGAGTTATGAAACTCGTTTTATAGTGGTTTCTGTAAGAACAAGATTGGTTATGCATATGGCCTTAAGTTTTGATGATAAGTTTATATGTTATCTTAGAGAATAATTGTGTACTCTAATAGTTTATGTCTAGTGTGTAGCTTTTGTTAAACAGGTTCTGACTCTGGTAAGAAGGCGTGTGACATCATCAGTTTCTGAACTCAACACTCTTGAAGAAAACCCATGGCGTGTTATAAGTTAAGTCAAGATTATGGAATGCTTCTTATGCAACAGTTCTAAGGAACATTAGTAAAAGAGCTTTTGAGCGTGACTTATGCAAGGAATCTTTGGAGGTCTTCTAAAGCTTTACTTTAGTTGTTCCAAGTTCTGAAGATGCTAAAGACAAGGTTCTGTTGAATGAGTTTTGAAGAGTTTAAGACATTATAAAGATCAAGTGCTGAAGACTCTGAAGGGAAGGGTTCTCCGAACAAGTCCTGAAAGGCCCAAAGACTTAGGTTCTGAAGATATATAGTTCTGATCTTTATACATCATGCTTCATCAAAAAACAAATCAGAAACCTCTGAAGATATAGAAGATAAATATCAAGACCAAGGTATTCGTGTGATGGTGAGTATAAAAGTACAAAATTACACGGTGACGTCTACTCTCTAGAGTCGTGTATGGACATACCTTTTTGTACTATTGTTTACCAGTCTTTCCATGACCATTGAGAATAAAACAATTGTATTTATGTTTCCTATATTTTACCCTCCAACGAATCTCTTCTTTCAGCTATAAAAGGAGTACTTGGAAGAATTTAAAATTAACGAATTAGTTTTACAAAACTACACCAAACCGCTGCACAAACTCTGTAGAGTAATTCTTTGTATAGTTTTGTAAATAAGCAAGGAGCTTTTGTTTGTATCTTGATATCAACATATTTGTGTTGTTGTACTTAAACATTATGTAATCTGCTTGTGTAGAAGCATCTTTGTATAAATATCTTTGTAATTAACTGTTGTTGATTGGTTCCTTGAGAGACTTTGTGTAGTGTGAGCTCTCAAGAAGACTTTGGCTATGGTCATAGTGGATTTGCAATAAGGATCAACAAAATTATTTGGGTGCCAATAAGGTTGATCAGACTTATTGTGGTTGTCTATAATCTGGTTTATTATAGTGAATTAAGTCCTTGTGTATAAGCCAAATCATCTTGCAGGATGGACTGGAGTAACTTAGTTAACAGTGAACCATGATAAAAATAATTGTGTTCATCTATTTTTATTCATTTATTATCTTTATGTTTGAGTTGTGAAAAATATTATATTTGGTGTAACCCAATTTAAACCCCTCATTTCTTGTGTTTCTCGCACCTTCAATTGGCATCAGAGCTTCGGTTCTGGTATTGATTTCTATCAAATACTTAATTGTGTCAGATAAAGATTCAGAGGAGTTTTAGAAACACTATGGTTGATCCTACTCCACCACCACCAGATCTAGTTTATGATAAAGATAACTATAATAATAAACCTCCCATTTTTTATGGTGAAAAGTTTGAGTACTGGAAAGATAGACTAGAAAGTTTATTTCTAGGTCACGATGTTGTCATTGGGATATGTTAGTTGATGGCTACGAGCATCCCCTAAATGCAAATGGAAAACAGCTTGAAAGGAAAGCTATAAGTGATCAACAAAAAAGGATTATAAGAATCATCATAAAACAAAATCATCTTGATAAATGTTATTTCTTATACTGAGTACGAGAAGATCACAAATAGAGACTCAACTAAGTCTATATTTGACTCTCTCAAAATGACTCACGAAGGGAATGATCAAGTGAAAGAAACCAAGGCTTTGGCCTTAATTCAAAAGTATAAAGCCTTCAAGATAAAGGATGATGAAACAATTGAGACGGTGTTATCAAGGTTTCAAACCTTAGTTGAAGGGATGAGAGTTCTAAACAAAGGTTGATCTACGTCAGATCATGTGAAGAAGATTATCAGAAGCTTTCCATCCAAATGGAGGCCTATGGTAACTGCACTCAAGATTGTAAAGGACCCCAACAACACGTCTCTAAAAGAACTGGTGAGTTCTCTAAGAAGTCACGAGATTGAGCTATATCAGGATGAACCTCAGAAGAAAGGCAAGTATGTTGCGCTCAAATCTGTCAGAAGATCTGAGAAGTCCAAAGCTCTTCAAGCTGAAGAGATTGAGGATTTAGAAGAATATTCTGATGAAGTTGAAGATGAGTTATCTCTGTTGTCCATAAGGGTTAACCGTCTCTATAAGAGAAATTAAGGCAACAAGTTCAGAAGTACTAGAAGGACATGTGGTTACTTCGAGTCTACTTCTGACGAGTGGAAGTCTTGTGGCAGAGAAGTCACTTGTTATGAGTGCAGTGAGCCAAGACACTACATGAACGATTGTCCTGAACTTCAGAAGGGCGAGCCCAAGAAGAAAGCTCTCAAGAGCAAGAAGAAATGGTTGATGGCAACTTGGGATAATTATGATTCTTCAGAAGATGACTCAGAAGAAGAACGGTCTAACATGGCACAAATGGCTCAAGTTAGAATGTTTGTTGAAAAGATCCCTCCAGAAGATGAAGTAGAGTCTGATTCAGACACAAAAGAGGTATCTCCAAAGAGGTATTTTTTTACCTTACTCATTTTGAATTAACTTCTTCTTTACTTGAAATTTTTGAAAAACATGAGTTACTCAAGATTAAATTCAAGGAACTTAAAAAGTCCCATGAATTCACATCTCCTAAAAACAATAAGCTTAAGGAAGATTTCTCCATTTTTCAATGAAGAATTTTTTTTCAAAGATGAGAACTCTTCCATAAGCTTCTGAGAGTACTAATGATGTCATCAAGAAATATGACAAAG